AAAGAGGGAGATCATAAGGAGAATGGAGAAGGGTTTGGCTGTCAAAGATATTTGCCAATATCTGCTCGGCACTGCAGAGGCCCAAGCCCCTCACCGACTGTGCCACCTCCTTTCAGGTGGGGAGCATTCCCTGCGTGGAGAGGAGATCCAGCACCGTCCCTGCCAGAGGTGCTCTGGTCCGTCATGCCAAGGGCCTGAAACAGGATACCTTCAAAATTGTAAGGGGCTATCCTGGAACCCTGTCCCCACCACTAGCCTGGGAGGAATCAGGAGGCTTCCGTCCCAAGTCCATCACCTGACCTGTCATGCTCAGGATGGAGCTGGGGTGGGAGAGTCCGTGGAGCTGTGCCACCACCCAGAGCCCACGACAGACTGCAGTCCGGCCCATCCGCCAGACCTTTCTCCCCACCTCTCAGCCCCCCCTCCCTTACCTGTGACCTCCTCAGTGTAAAGAATACCTGAGACCACTGAAGAAGTTCCTGCGAAAGTTGAACCTGCCCAAGGACCTTTCCCAGAAGAAGCGGATAAAATACACAAAGCAGAGCCTTGAGGCCCTCGGGGACCACATCAACACCTTCCTGCATCATTACTGCCGAGCCTGGGAGACCAAGCACTGGAAAAAGTAGGCAGCCTCCTTGCCTTATCCCACTTCCAGTCACCATGACGCTATGGTCAAGATCCTCCAGTCAAGGAGAGGGTTAAGATCCTGGGGGACAGCGATGTTAAAGAACAGGTCCCTCTAGCCTTCAGGGCAGCACTGACTGTTCCTTAGCTGTGCACATGGTAGGCACAAGCCTTGGCCAAGAACCTCCAGATACTCAGTAAGGCATTTGTTACTAAGCCCGATGACCTGCGTTCCATCTCTCAGACCCGTGAGGTGGAAGGAGAGATCCACTCCTATTGCTTGTCCCCAGACCTCCACACATGCACTATAGCAAACACACACACACACACACACATGCACGCACACACACACACGCGCGCGCGCACGCACACACACACACACACACACACACACACACACATTTTAAAGCCTCTCCTGAGAAGAATCCTTGAGCTGCTATGTGCTGGTGCTTGTTACCAGCCGGTGGCATTTCTGTCCTGGTCTCCACCTCCATCCCCTAACCTGAACAGGAGGAATCAACTTGCAGCCCATTTCTCCTGGGTTCTCCTGGTCACAAGATAGTGCGAGGGAGAGTGGGCTCTGGCAGCTGCTCTCAGCGAGAGGGAGAGTGGGCTTTGGCAGCCGTTCTCAGTGTGAGGGAGAATGGGCTCCGGCAGGCACCCTCGGTGCACAGGGAGAGTGGGCTCCTGCAGCCGCCCTCAGCCTGGTTTCTCTCTGCAGGATGCTCTGGCGGTTTGTCTCCCTCTTCTCAGAACTGGAATCCAAGCAGCTTCGCCGGCTTTATAAATACACCAAAACCAACCAGACAGCCAAGTTCCTGGTGAGGCTTTCCAGATAGCTCCTCTGAGGTCCTGCAGGAGATTGGTCGATGTGTTCTTAGATTGGACCGAGTGGCCCTCTGATAGCTGTCCCTTCTTGTCCTTCCCAGCTCTCACTGCTGAGGAAGCACCACCAGGCATACCTTCCTCTACACTGGGCCCTGGGGGAGCTGACCAGGGCCACCAAGTCAAGACATTTATTCCTCCTCCATACTAGGACCATGGCTTTAGAGAACAGTTGAGGCCAGCCTGGGGACATCTCCAGGGCCTGAAAACAGAACTTGGCTTAGCTCTATCCTCACACAGTGACTCTCAGCTGCCCTGATCTCAGGACGTTTATTTCTTTTTTTTTTT